GAAAAAAAAAAAAAAAAAAAAAAAGTCATTTGGGTTTAGACTGTAGCCACAGGAATTTTCTATATTCTCTTTTGAAGGCCCAGAAAAGCCTTGTGTTGCTTGGGCTTAGGATTGGTGATCCACCAAAGTAATAGGATGGGAATTTTTCCAAGCAGTAAGATTGTTGTGGTCCTGGAAATATTGGTATAAGGAGTTAGCATCAACAGATATAATTACTCTCCTTAAAGAATCACATATATAAGTTGTATTTGATTTTCCCTGAAAAGTGGATATTTGAAATGTCATGTATGATGTTTACAGAATTGCCTAATAAAAAAGTTTAAATTTCCTAGGTAGAAAGTATAAGTTTGATAAAAATATGTCTCGATCCTGCCAGTAGTTCAAAATGAGTTATAAATGATCTCATATATATATGTATGGAATACACTAGTGGAAGTGTTTTAGCTTTGGGGTTTGCAGAGATTTGCTACTAGACATGTGTGGGAAGAGCTGAGCACGCACACAACCAATGTGATCAAGCAATGCCTGTTTATTACAACTAAGAAAGGCCTTTTATAATGTTCTCCCGCACACGTGAGTAACATGCAGTACAAGTCCTCAAGACTGGACAGTTAACTTAGCCCGCGCTTTAAACCTTCTTATGATTAGAAAAAAAAGTGCCACATCAGCTGTGCCAGGCACCTGCCTTGTGGAACCTCCTCTTCCGTCCCAACCCCTTCCGGGGGTGGTTTGTCTCGTCGTTTCTCCCCCCTCATTCAGGGTCACATCCTTATCACATTCTTGCTCAGACTGAGGCTCTTATCAGTCTTATTCTCACACAGGATTGCTCACATGTCCATTCTCTCACAGAAAGTCCTCTTGAATCCCAACAGACATGGAAATTGTCCTCCCTCTTTTTTTCTCATCAAGTTGGTGTAGATTTTAAATTTGTTCTTATAATTTCCAGATCAGTCTTAATTTTATTTCAAATCCAGGGCAAAACCTGGTAATTTTTATGCCACTCGGTTAATTGTGTGCAAGTAAAGTGCTATCTAAGTAGAAAAGGGCTTTGAGAATGGGGTCTGAAGTAAAATGCCAGCAGAAATACTACTTTAATCATACATCAATCAGTCATTCCAGGAGCACAGTCCTATATGTACATATAAAACTTATGTCCTTGGTACATCTATGCAACTTATAAACTATATGAAGATCGCTAAACCTAGTACAACAAAATACAGCAGGTAGTTCCTTTGCTGTGAGGGTATGAAAATTTCCACAATCATAATATATATGGATATCTTAATAGTCTTTAAAGTCTAAAAATCTTATTTTAAGCCTTCATCTATTTTTTATCATCAAAATGAAATACTGATTAAACTGCAATATCTAATTGTTGCCTTAGTGATTTACAAACTTCTTTTCAAATAGATTAATTAAAATAATAGAACTTTAAAAATTATCTAGAAATTGATTTAATGATAAGATTCCATGTCCCTTTTAAAAACAAGCAGTATATGATTTAATGCAGCTATCATATCTATTTGCCTGTAAGCATTTCATTCCAAATTAATCTTTAACCCTGATGGTTATTATTTCCCCCATTGCTTCAGAAAGACAGAAGAATATGTACTAGTCTATTTTATTGACTTTTTTGTTATCCTGTCTGGCTTTCAAGCTCCCTGAAGCACTAATAAAGGTCAAGGGGTTTTAGAGTGAAATGCAGTCCCTTCACCTGGATTACAATACCTGCTAGTAGAATAATAGCAGACTATATAAGTTTCTAGTGAATATTAGATTGCTTCATAGCTGAAGATCAGAGCAAGGATGCTGAAAGATAGAAGTGCCTCTTTGAGTGGATTCCAGTACTTGAGATTCTGGTGGCTGGTGCCTGATGGCTAAAGCTTACTGTTATTTTACTCATTAGAAACTCAATGGTCATAGCAATAGTTAAATGCTGACAGTAAAAGTAAACATAATTAAATAACTTTCTGATGTGGTCTAACTCTAGCATACGGAGCTTAAAACTACCTCTCGTATAATAAAAAACAGATAAAAGATAAATGAAAGATGAGTATGCATGTCCTAATTTTAAGCTTGTATAGGCGTTCAGTGAGATTGCTCAAGTGTTTGAAGGAGTGTGTTTGCTTTAATGATTTGCTGGAGCAGAGCAACATCACCATCTCTTTTAAAGGATTCATTCTCACAGTAGTTCTGAGCAAGTCAGTAGTTGCAACTGTGCAGTGCAGATCGCTGTTTGTTCTCTGGTTTCCTGCATTTAAGAAAACAAATTTCCGTAGAATACTTCTACCTACTCAGCTGTCTCTCAAATTTATAGTAACAATTATAATTTCCATTTCTTTTCAAAGAAAACTTACAGTCACGGATGAGTTAAAGTTCTTTAAATCAGATGCT